AAGTCCTCGCCTTGCACGCCCGGGATCCCATATGGGCGCCGGTTCTAATCCCGGCAGCCCCGCTTCCCTTCCAGCTCCCTGCTTGTGGCCTGGGAAAGCAGTCGAGGACAGCCCAAAGCTTTGGGAACCTGCACCCGCGTGGGAGACCCGGAAGAGGCTCCTGGCTTTGGATCGGCGTAGTATCGACCCGTTGCGCTCACTTGGGGAGTGAATCATCGGATGGAAGATCTTCCTCTCTGTCTCTCCTCTCTGTATATCTGCCTTTCCAATAACAAAATAATAAAAATAAATCTTTTAAAAAAAAAAAAAAAGTTTTGCAAAGGAAGAGTTACTGCCTGTTTCAGGTCCAAGAAGCACAATGGGTTCAACCTGGAGCTAATTAAGCAGCAACTCAAAGAACCAAATCCCCAGAGCTCCCCGGCCGGGCGGCCAGCAGGCAGAGCCTGGCACCAAATGGCACACTGGCCGCCCGGGGACAGCTCAACACATGGCGGCTGTGCCCATGGCGGCTGTCCGGGATCCAGGCATGAGACGCCCCGTCCTGAGACCCACCAGCTGCCGGGAGGCTGCTGGAGGTTTAAATAACCCAGGCCCAAGGTCGCGCTCCTCCCAAATCCCATTCACGGCCCCATGAGGGCGGCGGGTGGGTCCCGGGCCTGCCCAGTCCCGGAGGCCTCCCCCTCGGTCTACTCACCCCGAAGGAAGCGGCCCCCGGAACCAGCAGGCCCGGGGACAGCTCAGCACATGGCAGCTGTGCCCATGGCGGCTGTCCGGGATCCAGGCATGAGACGCCCCGTCCTGAGACCCACCGTCTGTATTGTTTTATATCAGGTGGCTATGCCAGCTCATTTTTCCTTTCCACTAGCCTGGAATATCCTTTTCCATCCTTTCACTTTCACTTTCCACCTATTTTTTGTTGGTAAGACATGTCTCCTGTAGGCAACAGATAGATGGATTTTGTTTTTTGATCCAGTCTGCTAATCTACGACATTTGATGGATGAATTTAATCCATTTACATTCAGGGTTAATATGAATGGGTGGTAATTTGGTCCTGTCATTTTAGCAATGAGTTGTTCATTGATTTAGTCTTCTGTTGTCCTTTTTCTTGGATGTTCTCCAGGTTTGCCTGTGTTTTTGTTACTTGCCGTTCCATTTTATCTGTCAATAGGACATCTTTAAGCATCATTTGTAGAGCAGGTCTGGAAGCGGCAAATTCTTTGAGCTTTTATTTACTGTGGAAGATTTTTATTTCGTTTTTAAAGACAAAGTTTTGCTGGGTAATTTATTCTGGGATGACAATTTTTCTCCATTAAAATCTGGAATATGTCACTCTCTTTCTGGCCTGTAGAGTTTCCTCTGAGAGGTCAGCTGTGAGTCTGATTGGGGCTCTGTTAAATGTCAATTGATATCTTTCATGTACATATTTAAGGATCTTTTCCCTGTGTTCAACTGAAAAGAGCTTGATTATCACATGTTGTGATGATAATCACCTTTGGCCAGTCCTACTGGAAGTCTTGTGCCCCTCTTATGTTATTTTCCAATTCTTTCTTCATATTAGGGATGTTTTCATGTAATATTTCATTGAATACACCTTTAAACCCAGCTTCTCTTTCTGTGCCTTCTGGAACTCATATACCTCTTATATTTGGCCTTTTAATAGTGTCTCTTAATTCTTAAATACTTTTGTTAGTTTGACCCAGCTCTGATTCCAGCTTTTAAATTTTTCCCCATTGTGGCAAGAAGTATCTTCCAATTCTGAGATTCTTCTGCCTCGCTCATTCTGTTATTGAGGTGTTCTATTGAATTTTTAATTTGCTCCATTGTGTCCTACATTTCTAATAATTCTGCTTGATTTGTATCAGTGTTGCTACTTCCTGTATGACATGTTCCTTAAGTTTCTTGGACTCCTGTATGTGCTTCTCATTATAACAAGTTTTTAAAATTCTTTATCCTTCATTTTCTCCGTGTTTTCCTCAGTTAACTCTGAGGTTGACAAAGATTTTTGTTCCTTTGGTGGGGGGAGCATTAGTAATGTTCATTGTTCAATGTTCTTTTGCTCTTGGTCATTGCTATTCTGGCTAACAGATTCATCTCGTTAGGGCTGGTTTCTAAGATGTGCTGCCCACTAGTCTACAGGTCAATTTTATTGATTATATTTGGCACCTGGTTCTTTATTTGCAGTCACTTGTGCCACTCCTTCCAGCAAGTTTCATTCGTCGGCTCTTTTGTGCCAGGCTTCTACCATGGTCTCCGTAGCCCCTGTTTCTGGCTCACCACTCTCTAGCACCTATGATCCTGTGCTGTGGCTGCACCCTTGCCTGAACAGTCTTTCTCCTACTCCAAGCTCCAGTAATGCTGAGGATTAGGCAGACACCAGCTGTCCTAAATCACTGGGTGCTGGTCTTGCCAGAGCCTGCTAGCCTTTAGGTCTGAGGAACACCCAGACCTATTTTTGTTGGAACTCATAGGATGCCAAGTTGGTACTGATTTCCCTGTTTGGCCAATGCAATGTGCTGAGCCAGAACTGATTTTGCTCCTGGTTTATCACATGAACAGCTCACTGTTTTCCCTCCAGCCCCTCAACCCCTAATTTTTTTAAGATTTATTTATTTTTGTTAGAAAGTCAGATTTACAGAGAAAAGGAGAGAGAGAAAGATCCTCTGTCTATTGGTTCACTCCTAAGTGACCACAATGGCCAGAGCTGAGCCAATCTGAAGCCAGGAGCTTCCTCCAGGTCTCCCACACGGGTGCAGAGTCCCAAGGCTTTGGGCCGTCCTCAACTGCTTTCCCAGGCCACAAACAGGGAGCTGTAAGGGAAGTGGAGCACCCAGAATATGAATGGTCACCCATATGGGATCATGGCCCATGTAAGGTGAGGATTTTAGGTACTAGGTTACCATGCCAGGCCCTAAGCTAACTTTTATAGTACTATAAACTTGCAGCTTTTAGGTATAAATGCAATAAAAGCCTAATAAAAATATTGTGAAGAAAATGATGAAGCTTATACTGAGAACATTTGAAGACACACAAATACATGGAAAGATAGGCCGTGCTCCTGAATAGGAGGATTCAAATAGTAACAACATTGTGCAATCAAATTCCTAACAGATTTTAGAGAAATTTTGAATTTGATCCTAAAACACATGAATAAACCCAATGGGCCAAGATTACCCAGACATTCTGAATCTGCTTCTGGGATTTCCCTTCTCCCTGTCTGACTATATTACAGGGAAAGTATAATTAGGCATGAGGTAAAAACAGAGGCATGAATTGCATCCCTCTTTTACCACTATGTGGTAATGTCAGTTCAAGTCCTTAAAACATAAAGGCTAAAGGTTTAAGAGTCCAGAAAAAACATGTAGAAAAATAAAAGGCAGTCTCCACATAGAGACAAGTCCTTCAGGACAACACCAGCATGTGCCCTGTGGGAAAAGATTGTCATAGTACATGACAGGTGATAACTTCTGTTTAACAAAAGAAATCTGCCCAAAAAAGCAGTCACAGACTACAATGTTCTAGTTTCAAAAGATTATTCTCTAAGACCACTGAGGAAGTAATCAGAATAAATAAGAAAAATATCAATACTTTAGTTATAAAACTTAGCCCAAATCAAAGAGACAATTCACAGAAGACAAAAAAATAAAGTGACCCTTCAACATATCAAAACATGTTCAAGCTAATAATGATAGGGACAGAAATTCAAATAGCACTAAGATGTGATTTCATGTGCATTGGGTGGGGAAAACATTGAAATGTCTGTAGAAGTGCTAAGTGTTGGTCAGGGCAACTATAGGAGCTCTGATGCACTCCTGGACTCATGTAGGTTGGCATTTCCCCCACAAGCACTCTGAGAAATGGATTGGTCATTGCATGTAAACTTGAAGATGCTCACATCCCATAACTGAGCAATTCTATTTCTGTGGAAGCATGCTAAAATTCTCCCACAAGTGCACAAATGCTTGTAACAGCATGACTTGTCAAAGGCTGTGAAACTGGAAACAGCTCATGCCCTTTACTAACAGAATGGTTTTATTTTTTTCTTTTACTGTTAACTATTTTTTTATTAATTACATGGCATGATGTGACACAGTTTCATAGGCTCTGAGATTCCCCCAACCCTTTCCCATGTCCTCCCCCCATGGTGGATTCCTCCACCTTGTCGCAGTATTACAGTACAAATTCAGTCAAGATTCTTAACAGAGTGGTTTTTTAAAAATCACATGACAGAATGACCTGTTAGTGAAAATGAGTTAAATGGGGCTAGTGCATTGACGTGACTATACAAGGCACAATATGAGCCAAAGTCAAAGCCACAGAAAACACATGCAATCCGGTTCTGTTACTATGACCTGCAAAGCCAAGCAAAACTAAACAGTGTACTGTTTGAGAATGCATGATACTTGCACAGTCAGAAAACTGTATTTAAAAATCAAAGTAGGGTTGAGGGACAGGTGCTTGGCACAATGATTAAGATACCATTTGGGAACATGTATCCTTTAGGATTGAATTCTGTTCCAGAGAAGATTCCTTATAATGCACCTGGGAGGCAGCAATGCCTCAAGTCCTATGGTTCCTGATATTTATGCAGGAGACCCAGATTGAGCCCTTGGCTATTGGCTTCAGCCTGGCCTAGACATGACTGTTATAGCCATTTGGGGAGTGAACCAGCACGTAGGAGCTTGCTCTCTCTGTCTCTGTCTCTGGTTATGCCTTTCGAATAAAAATAAATAAATAAATATTTTTAAAAGAGCAGTAAAAGGGGTGATAGAAACAGAATTGTACTTCACCTCTTGTGGGAAGAGAAGACACTTGCAGCAGGGAAAGCAATGGGCCTCATCTGAGTTTTAACTGTGTTATGAAATTTATCTTAGGGATGCGTTTACTAAAAATTTAATGAGTTTAAGTGTCATGGGTCAGGAGTACCCATATGAGAAATTCTTGTTTCAAGGAGGCTTTAGGGGAGCACCATTCACCTGAGCCTTATGATGTTGTTTCCTAGGAGGAACGCCGGACAGGCAACTCCCTGAGTGGTGGTGCTCTCACATGGACCAAGAAATCCAGCCTGGATTATTTGGCTTTGGACTTCAATTCAGCATCACCAGGCCCTGCACAGCAGGTAGGAAGACATTTATGTCTAACAATTCCCAGGCAATTGAACTTCATCTCAGACTTTTCTGATGGTTGAGCCATGATTGCCCTCTTTAGGCAGTCTTAAAATTACACTGAGACAGAATGAAGAGTGTGAAGTCACCTGAATCTTCATCGCAGAGAGAAGGAAATACTGCTGTGTTTCCTCCAAGAATATGAACTTTGTGTGTTTGCTCCTCACAATTTGTACTATAAGAAACTGTTTTTTAGAGATGAGGGCAATGCAGGGAACAGTCCAAGTGTAGAGAACAAATGTTAGTCTCATTTGGCTATACTTTAGGGAGTGGTGAAATCCTCAGCTAGAAGTGGAGCCCCTCAGTGCAGGTTCTTGAATGCCAGATTGGGGAATCTGGTCTCCTTTGGATGGCATTTTTGCCTAGAACATAGGGGACAGAAATAATAACACCTCCATTAAGGGCAAGCCTAGTTATTAGTATCACCCACTGCACAATGTGAAGCCCAGAACAAATAGATGACACCTAATTATTCAAGACCAAAGGATAATCATAATACAAACTGTGCCTACAAATGTATCTTGGTGAAAAATAACAATGTACTGGCCAGAATGTACATTGTGAGTCTGTGTACATTTGCATATGTAGAACAAACTCTGCAAGTCTTTCCTCCTGTTTCGCTGAAAAACCCCTATATCTCTTCTATCTCTAATATCCTTCTGTAACCCTGAACCAAGCCAAGTCCAGCTGATCAACAGGTTGCTGTGGAGCAGTGCACACAAAAGCCATTCAAATCAATTAAAAGCAGCATCTGCACTCAGCTGCATATGGCACCAGGGACCCCTTAGCTTGTTGTAGCCCAGAACCTCTGTGTTCCAGGTGGTCTTCAGTGCAAGGTCCAGACTGTGGCAGAAGCTCCTGTCTGAGCCATTTCAGTCTCTGGCAGAGGAGAAGATGCGACAACAGATTCACAGGAGACCTCTTTTATCCTTAGGATTGGCACATGTCCGCTTCTCTCATTTTATGTCTCACAAAGCAAGCTGAATGCTGAACATTTTCCCAGTTGTTAAATGAGATGTCACAAAACTCTTTTTGTTCTCCCCCCTTCAGAAACTTCTCCTTTCAGAAGAGCAAAGAGTAGACTATGTGCAAGTGGATGAGCAGAAGACACAAGCACTCCAGAACACAAGGCAGGAGTGGACAGATGAGAGGCAATCAAAAGTATGAGAGATGGAGGCTCAGGCCACATGCCCAGCAAAGAAACTGGGGCTCAGTCTAAATTGTTTGCTGAAACCATCCTAATGGGCAACACAGGAGGTTGGAACTAACAGAGAATGTAGACTTTCCGTGGTCTTAGTTGGAGCTTTTACAGAATGGGGCAACCCCACTTAGCACCCTCTGCTCTTCCCTTCTGCAACTACAAAGCCAGTACCCAGTCACAGGAGGCAGACATTGAGGGTTCCACAGCTACAGACTGGAATACAAAAACTTTATTCATTTGGACAGGTCAGCAATGACAAAAAGAAGACTTGGGAGAATATTTTCCTCCAAATTCTGTTTAAAAACATCCCCAAAGGAGAATTCTGAGTAAAGATTGGGGCTGCCATCACAATCAACAACATAACATCATTTGAGTTCAATGTCTGAAATTCTGACTTCTCATGTCTTTTGATCACAATCATGACTTAACAAAGGGGTTGCTGGAGGTTATCTTGACCCAAGCTCCAAAAACGCAGTTGAGAAGATCAAGCCTAGCACTTGTGGCACAATGCATCCTCCTTAATCTAAAGGTTTCATCAGAGCAAACATTTACATCCCCAAAGAAAGAATTCAAGTGACAACAGCCATGAGTTCCATGCTCTAAGGACACAGTCAGTAGTCAGCTACTTGTATTAGCCAGGGATTCTGTTTTTGCTAACGTTTTCCAAGTGTGCTTTCACAGACATCATGTCATCTCTTCTCAAAATACCTCAGGACTGTGCCAGACACAGTCACTCCCATTTTAAGGAAAAATGAAAAACATAATTGAAACCTGGAAGAAGGAACACTTTGCCAGAGAACAGTCCCAGAGCTAAACCCTGGAAGCAGGCTTACAACAGAGTTGTCCAGGCTACCAAGTGTGAGCTCATTCCACTCTCTCACACAGCCTAATAGAGTTTTGAGGAAATTGATGTATTGGGTCAATCTTGAAGATGTGTGCGAAACACCTGTAGTCACAGGACAAGTCACCATCTTCTCACCGTTTTCTGGAGATTGAAACCAGTGCTTTGGATGCTTGAAATGTGTGCCTATGTAATGAGGGCTTGATCAGTATAAAACACTAGCATCTTCCATCACTGCAGTTAGAAATACCTTCAGATGGATCGGTGTGAAATCCATTCTTGGATCACACTACTATGCAATGTGTTTTCATATGAGCTGGCTAATGTTGCCAGATAGATTTTTTGCCACCTTATGGAAGGCACAAGTCATCCCTGGCTATCCTGTGGTGCTCCTAACCAGGTTTTGAATGAGAGATGACAAAAGAAAAGAAAGGAAAAGAAGAAAAGAAAAGAAAAAGAAAAGACAAGACAAAAAACCAGCAACCGTGAATTCCATCCTTAGGTCCCCTGGCCAGTTTTTTGTTTGAGAAATGTCTGGGTCCTGGCAGTTCCCAACTCTCCATCTGCCTTCCTTTATGGATCCTGAGGACAGAGGGGCCCACAACGAACATCTCAATTGGGTGTGTGTTTTGTTTAATGTCGCTTGTTGATTTTTCATTATACCTGCAGTCAGAAGACACATTTGAGCAGCTAAGAGCTAAGAAAATGCTGGTCTATGCGAATCAGTGTAGTTGAGGCCATTGTAGGTTCTGCTGCAGGGTTTCTTTTTTCCCCCAAGATTTATTTATTTTTATTTGAAATAGTTAGAAAAGGGGAGACAGAGAGAAACCGTCCCCTGGTTCACAAATGGCCGCAATGGCCGGAGCTGGGCTGGTCCAAAGCCAGAAAAGCCAGGAGCTACATTTCCTACATGGGTGCAGGGGCCCAAGCACTTGAGCCATCCTTGCTGCTTTCTTAGGCACCTGAGCAGAAAGCTGCCACTTTTCACAGTTGATAGGATAACCATGTGTGGAGCAAATGTTTACTGATTACCTGGCAATGGGGTGGTATAAAAACATAGCCCCAAAAGTCAAGGGCCACAATGAGTTGAGGATAGCAGATACTGTGGTTGAAATTGTGTCTTTAGTGAAAGCCAGAGGGGGTGTTTCCCTAGCAATTAAAGCAGCCAAGTCTCAGCTTTAGCTCCCAACTTCATTCTCTAGGTGAGGATGGCTTAAGTGACATGGTTCTACCATCCTTGTGAGATCCAGACTGAAGTCTAGGCTCCCAGCTTCAACGAGGTCCACCCCTAGCCACCATGGGCATTTCAGGAAGTAAATTAGCAGATGGGGAGCTTACTCTATCTCTCTGATTTGCAAATAAAAATTTAAAAGAATTATAAAACCTGAGTTTTGAAAAAGGTAACCTCATCCTTATTTCTAGGGTATATGCAATTATGTCCTGCTTTGACAAAACTGCTGACGGCTGGCTCTGCAAAGGTGTAATGATTCTGCAAAGCAATAAAGGTAGTTTTTGAGCTGACAGTAGCATATGCTCCTGACAAAGGCATCGTTAGCCCAAACAATGCCAGCCAAATCTGACCTGTGGTAGAAACAATCAATGTATCATAAGACAGTATTGTGTTTCTGACCAAGGACCTGGTGTCTGCTCCAGAAATGATCCTAGAGAGCATCGTGACTCCAGTGGGACGGGCAACACAGCAGTTCTTCCCACATTGTTTCCCATTGCTTATTTCTGTTTTGATTCTTACAATCTAATTTCATTAAGGAAATCCTTCCAGATAAGGGCTTGTCTAGGGCAGGAGATGGAAGGTTCTCAAACCTACAAGCTGGGAAGGCCACAGACCCAGGAATGTTGGTACTTCAGCTTTCCTTGGGAGAAGTAGGAGCCTTGAGGCCTGACATACAGACCAGCAACATGGCACCAAATGATTCAGCAAATGTCATTGTCCAGGCCACTTCACCACGACTCCTCTGTCCCGCTTCCTACCATCTGTGTACCCACCATTTATTGATTTTTCGATTTCCTTTTGTTTTTACTGTTATGTCTGTGGCATGAATAAAAGTCTTAGAAGGAAGAATCATGTCTGAGTGCTCTCATTTGTTTTAAGTGGTAGAATGCTATGTAAATGAACACAATTTTGAGAAGAGACTTAATTAGGGTTTTCAAGAACAACAAATTGAATGTGACTCACATGCATTGGCCTGCATGTGTGTTATCTCCCTCTTCATACAACCACATATTCCTTTTTATTCAGTAGAAGTAATTGGGGGTAAAATCAGCTCATTTGCCCTGACACCACCTGTAACTTGAGTTTTGTCATTGCTTACATGAATGAGGAACTGCCTCTTGCATGAATGGGCCTGCCTCTTCCTATCAGGAGTTTTTCTTTTCTTAGCTTCTCTGGGTGCTGTGTCAGTGTCATCTCTGGGCCCCAAAGTGATGCAGACACAACCAGAGTAGGCAGAGATGGAGCATGGGAAGAGGGGCAGGCTTATATTTTAGGGAAATAGACCAAAGGCATTGAGAAGAGCGGCTCAGGAAATCCTAGGCCTGAGAGAAGGGAGCAGAAGCCACATTAAATTGCATACCCCAGGTAAAAACTGAAGCTGAAAGTAAACTTTTTACATACATTTATACACACACACTCCAGACCAAACCCCCAATATGAAGAAATAGGTTGACGAGCAGTGCTCTAACATTCTCTTCTAGCAGTTCACACCCTGGGACTTTTTCTCAGGCTCCAGAAACTGCTTTACCTGCAAGAGCAGCCACAGCTGGATCTGTGAGGCGCAGAAGTAACAGACCAGCTCTTTTCCCTCCCATTGGGATTAGCCCTGGAGAAGGCGCCTGTGGGAACTGGGAAGCCAGTCTTCCTCTGAGGTCACTCAGTTTTACCACAATCCTGTCTTGACTGTGAGGGGACTAACAGCTCATGGTGCCCTCCCCCACGACACCTGACCTGGGACTCAGCCTGGGAACCGCGCAGGGAGCATCCACTCCACATGCCTGCAGGACGGCCCCCGGGACAAGCCCCCTCGGCACCACGTCGGTTGTTCTTAGCTGTCGCCAGACACGAGGCTGATGATGTGCTCCAGCTTGTGGCGCAGCCTGTGCTTGCGACACAAGGCGTCTCGGTCCAGAGCGGTGAGGATCTGCGGGAGGAGGGGCCCCTGGGCCTGGGCTCTCGGGGAGAGGACGGTGCTCTCCATGCCAAGCAGAACCCCCACTTCCCAGCTGGCCAAGCCTGGCCCAGCCCAGCCCAGCCCACCACCCTCGCTCCCTGCACAGCGCACAGCACAGGGCATAAATCCATCCCTCTTAACAAAATCTTCAATATGTTTAATTGCTCAGGGTGTGTGTGTGTTTCATTATGCATATAGACTTTTTAATGCTCCCTTAGTCCTGGTTGAGCTAGCAAACAGAGGCTTCAGGGTCAAGGCCTGGTCACCTCCTGGGTGGGCAGCAGCAACCCGGGTAGGAAAACAGCTGAAGAGGCTCCCTCCACCTCTCCAGAGGGTGAGGTGTGCAGGGGGCACTTCTGCCTCTGGTAGGGAGTGGATTTACGGGCTATGCCTCACGGCACAAGCAGCAGGTCGTATTGGCAAGTGTACGAAGTGTAAGTGCTGCTTGAACACAGTGGTGGTGCAGGCATGCCCCTGCTGCCCCAGGAATGTGTGTTCTTGCCGACAATGAGCCCCAGCTCATTCCGAGGAGCACAAAGTCACTAAGTCACCACCCTTGGGAGACACAAGAACACAGTGCACCTTAGTGTCCTCCTGCCTTGCTCACCACATGGCCTGTCCCACCTGCTCTGCCACACAAGGGCCTTGTCAGCCTCCTGCTGAGGGCTGGGCTCCATATCCCCTTTCCAGAGTCAAAGGAGGGTGGGCTGTTTCCATGGGTGCAGATCGGTGTGACGCCCCATGAATTCCAAAGCATAGGATCCCAGTGGAACTTCTGGATGATTCATGGAATACCAGCTCTGAGCCCAAGTCACTGTGAGCAAGCCAAGCTGTGTGGTAAGGCCACAGGTGGTGCTCAGATCCACAGAGCCCAGCCCAGCTTTGTCCCAGGCACACAGCACGCCTGGGACTGAGAGTACACAGAGCTGTGCGTGAGTACACACATGTGAGTAATGAGGCCACACACGCGTGTGAGTATACATGTATGAATAACGAAGCCACACACATGTGAACGAGAGTGCTTGTGCGTGAGTGTGCACATGTGAGATCAACACACATATGAATGAGAATGCACATGTGTGAAAATGAGGCCATACATGTGTGAGTCAGTGCTCATGTGTGAAAATGCAGATGCAAGACTGAGCTAGACCCACACACATGTTAGTGAATGAGACGACAGGTATGAGACTGAATGAAAATGAGTGCCATACACATGTCAGTGAATGACACTCTCATGTGTGAGGGAATGAGACCACACACGTAAGAGTAAA